GAAAGACAACATAAATAAAGTCACTGATTTTCAACACAATGGTGTCTGAGTGTTTCATAAATAACAGCATCCATGATATGAGAATACATCTCTATTATCATTTTATACATAGGCAGCTGAAGTAAACGGATTTGGGAACGTGGGGTAAAAGAAGATAAGAAGGCTCACATTAAGGAAAAAAATAAGTGAAATGTTTTATATAAGAGGTCTCATTTGGGATATATGAAAACAGAGATTAATTTCTCTTTTTATTTTGAACAGTTTGAACTAATATTACTCCATGTTGATCTAAGAGGAATTGTTCTCTAGTGTTTCTTGTAGAGATTTCCCCTTTTCATAGGCAAGTTTTGCAGTTATTGAATCACTGAGAAACAGAAAAACTTGTGTGTGCTCTGGAGCTATTGTCCTACACAGCAATGAGAATGACCTTGGCACAAACTCCCAGTCAGAGACCTTGGCACAACTGAACATTGTTTTCTCATGTCTTTTCTTAATGCTTCTTTATAAAGACCTTTAACTGTTCAAAGCAAATTAACATTGCCTACAGTTGTTCTTGGCAAAGTTCAGTCTACCCCAGATCAGACAGCAGCATCTCACACTGGATATTCAGAGAAGTTTAGAGGTAGTATCTTCATTATGTCTGAGGGAAAGGACAGGAAAGTATCTAGTTCTCCAGTTGTCTTCATCAGACAACATTTCTTTTCCTAGAGTTTTCTTCATCATCAGCTATAAAACTTCCTATTAAAAAAAAAATAAAAATAAAAAAAGCCAGGAGGAAAGATTCAACTTACTTCGATGTATGTCCTTGATCACTGCTTTTCCTGTGGTGCTAAGCAAACGCCATGGTAAATTAAAGAATTTTGGCATAAAAATCAGACATTTTTAGAATTTGAAAAAAAAAACCCTGCTCATCTGAAGTTGCAATGCTCAGGATTTTTAAAATTTTTAATTATGAAGATTAGAAAGAATTAACAATGAAAGAAAATTGTATTTACCTACAAGACTGTAGGGTTCTGAAAATTTTTGGCCCAGCTATAAAACAAAGCAAAATAAAATTTATGGTTAATGGTTTAAATCACATGTACAGAACCACAGGTTTAAAAATTTTGCAGTATTTTTAAATCACAAGGCATAAGCTATTTTCCTCTTCTTAGTATGCTGCATCTTTCAAATATATGCTTCATTTCTTAGTCATCTGGCCCTGTCCCATGTTGGAATTGCTCCCTGCTGTTAATTAGAGGTGACTATGATTTGATTAATCTCAAACATGTGTTATATATGCACACTATGGAAAACTATTCTACATTTTCTACTTTAAACATTTTTGAACGTAATGGAAAAAAGCCAAACATTTTTTAAGGACCTAATCTTATCTTAATGAACAATATGGATATGATCAAAATAAGACATTCTAATCTATTTAAAGTGTTAAAAGTTCACAAAAATATGCACTAATCATGTGGAGTATTTATCAATGTAATACAAACAAGGTTTCAAATGCAAGCCACCTAAGCATCATTGCTGTCTTTAAATATGAAGTTCTATCCTTTTAGACAAAGGTTTGTCACAGTTTGACAATGTGCTTTACCTGACCCCACATTGTTGGTATGTTTCCTGTGTAGATATTTTTTGAAGACGTTACCCATATTTTTTTATATCTAAAGAGCTTAGCAGTCAAGGATGACTATAACATTGACTTATGATTTTATATAGCTCTTGGTCTTGAAAGGTCTTTAGTGACTAAACTATAAATGTAAGATTTTTTTTTTTAGGACAGAATTATTCATATATTTAAATTGCATTTTGGGGTTAGTAATTATACAGCTATAAAAGAAAAATTCACTATATAAGGAAGGCTAAACATATGATTAAATATTGTCTTGGTTTATAAACATCTATAAAGACCATTACTAAACAGGAAGTTTTGAATTCTTTATGTCACATTAATATAAGTGCTTATGCATTTTTGTGCAAATAGAAGTACTGTAAGTATTAACAAAAGTTCACTAAAAGACTCCTTCCAGCAAGACATTATTTTTTAAGTTAAGTATAATAATTTTGATTTTTAAAAATTACAATTATTTAATTTGCTGGTTCTAATTTTTTTTTTTAATGTAGAACTCCATTGTTATTAATATACAGCCTCCAGTGGTAAGTGAAATATAATTCAAATTAATTTTTCCTACAGTTGTATACAAATCAATAACCATAAGAATCCCAAAGGAAAAGCATGTTATATGGCCCTCCAAGTTCCTAATGAATGCAAATAAGCTGACCTTTCTTTGACAACTGTGAATATGGTTTTTCACAATTTTACCACTGAAATTGCTATAATCAGCAATTCATACAGTAAAAATGGAGCCAATAGTAGTTGTAAATAATTATACATCACAAGAGGGTGTATGGTACATTAACCATAGCAAACAAACTTCATGATTTTAGGAATCAGTTAGTCTAACATATTTTGTCAAAAAAGATCTTCAAAGAGAACACAGATACCCACTTTACTTTTTTCATTTTTAATATATTTTCTATATCCTTGAAACACTCTAGTTTTAGTGTTACATTTTTATTGTTTTAAAATGTAAATACCAGCACACCTTGAATTACTAATTTCTAAAAATAACACCATTTTTATAGGTACAGTAATGAACCTGAAAGTAAAGGAAGATTACAGTCAAAAATAAAGGAAAAAGAAGAATTCATCATTTTAAAGGGGTAATATATCCATGAAAATGCAGTGCTTCTCATACAATGATATAATAAAACCGTGAATGAAAACAATGTATTTGAAACAATGAGCTACTGTAGTACTTCCACCTCTAGTATTTCTTTCTCACAAATACTCTTTGAATAGTGCTGGAAAAATTAATGTATAAATGAAAGCTATGGCATTTTTTTAACACCTGTCTTAAAATGAAAAGTCTATACAGGTTTAAGAAAAACTGAAATTTGAAGCACTTTCATTACAGCATTGTATTTTCTACAGAAAATTTAAAACGTCTGCAAAAATTCTATTTCAAATAGATGTGAAGAAATAGCACTTATATTAAACATGTTAATTACAGGTATATGTTGATCTTCAAAAAACCCAAAAAGATCAAAAAAGAGAAAAAACAAAATATTTGGGTTCGTCGTTCCTATGCAGCAAAAACTTGAAATGCATATGGCTGGAAAGTAGAAGCCTCAACTGAACACTATATTAATTAATAAGATTAAAATTCCCCTTGTTTTGAAGACAGGGGTTACTAAATGCTTAGAACTAATTTCATTAAAGTCATTAGTTCTTTTTGTCCTATTTTTATGTTTTTCAGTAAGCAAATTTCTGATTTAATAAGCTTTGAATGCACGAAGATCATAACAGGATATCAATTAATAGTATGTTCATATAATATGTGTGATATTTTAAAAGAACAGATCTTTCTTGATGACATTTCCTCAGGATCTCTGCTCTCACACTTGTAATTCTTTCATGTTCAGAATGAATTCCTGTTACCTCTCACTCAATATTGATCTTCAAGGCATTTCTTCCAATCCTCTCCCCAGTGTGGTCACTGAACAGTATAAAAGTTCAATAGGAAGATCAGCTGCTCATCCACTTTTTGCTAAAGCAATTTGTATTATGGATTTATTTTACCAGTCTACAGTGGCAGTTGCTGTTTTTACTATTTAAATGCTTTGATTATCTGACCTTGCTTACTTTATCTTTTTAAGTGCTGTGCATGGGCTTTAAAGTTGATCAATAAGTGGGGATTCCTCCACCACATTATGTTGAAATCAATCCTGATTCAGACTATTTGTATTTCACTCTTATGAGTCCATCTGTCTTTCTTAATTTTATATTCTCTTTTCTTAAATAATTTTGTCTGCCTCTGCAAATACTTACTGTCAGGTAGATTTCCATTGCAATCAATTCAGCTTTTCTCAGTCATAACTACAGTGTCTGGGAAGACACATATGTATAGGATCATATCCTATACTTGAACAGATAATGATTTTGTTGGGTTTTTTTTTAATATTTGTGTAATAGATAATGTCAAAGTTAATAAACACAAATTTTTACTTACTTAATGTCTTATTTACTTTTTCCAATAATAGTTAGAAATTAAAAATCAAACTAAATGGCACAAGCTGATTAAAATATTTCAGATTAGCAATATCTCTTGGAGAAAAGGATAAAGTAATGGAGTCAAGCAGCCTTCAGCTATGTCACAATAAACCTTAGAATTCTATGATTAAAATTGGGATCTAGAGTTAGTCCTGAATTTGTACAGTGTAAAAAAATGCTCTAAGAAACATTTTGTTATATTTTGCATCTAATTTATTTAATAAACATTTAAAACATTTCATATTTTTTACCTCTTAAAAGTTTTAAAATTTACCTTGCCTAATTCATAATGAAAAGGTTACCACAACTGTAAGAAGCCTTAGAATGGATATGTCAAAATAGAAAAGGAGAAAGAAACTAAATAAGAAATCTAGAAATTCAGTTAACATGCTATGCACGGAGTCCTAAGCATTTAGGGGATAATCTACCTAGAACATATAAAACCTACTGAAATACATTGATCTTATTTAATATCTCCACAAACATTCAGAAGAAGGAATACCATTTCCCTGTTCTTTAACTAAATCACACACACAAACACTAATTTGGATTTCCAATAAATTAATCTAAATTAAAATATAGTCAGATGTTTCAGTGATTTCTTGTAATCCTTATATCATAATTCAATATTTTTATAATAAAACATCACAACTACAAAACAAAATAAAAAGTGATCCTTAAAGCAGTTTTCATCTTCAATCTTGCAAGCCTGGGAACAGCTTTTCATATGTTTATAGGGTAATTGGCTTCACAAAACTGTGAAACTGTGATTTGCATTCACATATGTTTGAAAGATTGGGGCCTAGGATGACATTAAAATCTGATACTGTTATTAATTAGTTTGTTAAATAATACATTAATTTCACATGCATAGGAAGAAACTTACCTGTTTCTTCAAATTTTCTAGTTCTTCACCTGATTGAGATTATCTCTACTTATGCCAGGACTAGTAGACACTGAGGTCTTGAGAAAGTTGCTACTTATCCTCTTTATTTGATGTTGTTATTCTTACCTTTAAGTCCTCCACACTTTTCCTGATTCTTTTATACAAAATAGGAATTATTCAGTCATAAGTTTGACAATGGTAAACAAAGTGAACCTTTTGCTATGGGTGGGAGAGCTTCTGCCTCAGTTGTAGCTCCATATGGTGCACACCACCATGTCTCTGATGAGAGGGGAAGGACAAAAGGAAACATGACCACGAATATCTTAAGCATTGTTATAATTAGAAGATGTTAATAGCAACACAGCATAGAAAAAGTAGTGGGATGACAGAGGTTTAAATCATATTAAGACCAGCGATGGGGTGGTGAATATTTAGCATACAAGGCACTATTAAACTTATGTTCATGGTTCATATGAAAGTAAGTGCATAAAGTAACTAATAATAAACAGCCACTGAAGGAATAGAAGTGCATGAAGATTTCACTGGCAATTTTCTAAGTGCATGAAAGAGAAATGGCTTAGGAATCTAATGTACAAGCTAACCCATTCTAAAGAAACCAGAAAATATGCAACAGTCCTTTTCACAATGGCATAATGACATTTTTGTTCTTTTCTGGAAATTTATAGTACCAGAAATGAAAAAAAGTGGTTTTGGGGATTTGTTTGTATAAGACTTCAGTACGTCTACAGATATTTTTTAAATTATTAGTAACTGTATCGAAATCTGGTCCTCTCAGTAATCTTATAAGCAATTTTAGTTAATTCAAAATGTCATCCCTGAAAATTAATCAGATTTTAGTGATAATTCCTTTCAGATTTTCAAGTGAACAATTTTATTCTCCTTTTAAAATTGCACTAACTAATAGAAGCATCTATTTCGTTATGGTTTTCCTTTCAAGCACTTATGGAATTTGTGGATAAAAAGGAGGGTTGTTTTTGCCACAATCTTACACATTTAAAAAAATAAGGATGAAAATGCAAAGGAGAAATAGAATTACTAGAAGATGTTACAAATAGCATCTGATGGAGGGTTAGAGAGGATGTGCAACTTGTTCAATACTTGCTAACATCACTTGTGAAGATTTTTCATTTTACTGTGACAGCAGAGGGGAAATTTAAAAGAATTCACTACACCAAATATTATGCATTTCTGCAGAGCACAGCTTAAAAAAGACAAGTCTGTACTGTTTCTCTCAGGTGGGTAAATGTTAAGAGAGAAGAATCCAAGTTTCATGATGCAGCAGCACAAAGCTGGGAAGTGAAAATTATGTTGCAGCAGAGTCCTGAAAATATGACTGTAAAAGTTAATCAATAAAATGTCTATTCCTGTCTATTCACTAGAGGCCCCAGCTGCATAGCTTCACACAATCGATACTACAAATTATTACGATTTCCAGGTTCCCACTGGACATTCCAAACAAATCTTTCAGGTGTAACAGGCTTATACCGAGGCAAGTAGGGTGGAGGGCTGGGGAGTGGGACTGGGATTGTGTTTCCTTAGGTTTATTTCATCCAGGGTAAGTATACAACAAACAAAGCCTGTGTCTTCTAAAAACTTTCATTTGTTTCCCTATGAAATAAGTGTATTTGGGGCACCCTGTGAAATTAGTTTCTACTCTGTTTTAAAATTGAATATTTTTATTCTTGCTATTTGAATACATGAATGAATAAATTAATATAAGGGATGTTAATTGTTTTTAAATCCTAGTCAACCATTTCCTTTTTTCCCCACTTCCATGAAAAATAACTTACAACAAGGACTTTACAACAAGGAAATAAAAGCATGCAGAAATGAACCTTTCCCCTCAAAGGCCTCACAACAGCTATAGCAGAATCTCAGGACTCAGTGTAGTTTTAAGTCACCAATTTATGCTGCGCTGTATTTTCCTTTGTATGATCCTGTGCTCTCGCCGTGATACCAGCTGCATTTGTCAGATTCACTAAGGAGGAAGGTAGGAAAAACCCAGGACTGTATGACTTTGAATAAGTCAGCACCAAAGGGATGTTACTTTATGACACATGCAGTACCCTTCCTAGTGACTAAATATAACCCTTGTGACATTCCCTGTCCCAAAAGACTCAGGCGACAGAGATGCATTGTTCTTTCTGTCTCTCAAGGAACAGAGCAGATACTGGCTGGCACAGAATTACTATTTTCAGGTACACAGTATGTTGTTCTAAAGGGAAATTTCAATATTTAAATGACTTAGTTGTTAATTTCTTAGATTTATCAGTTCCACTTTATTAAACATATTGTTTTGAGTTTGCAGTTTTAATTTTCCAGATTCAACAAATAATTTGGTTACTGCAATCCTGCTGCAATGAGGAAGAGTGCTTTTAAAAGCAATGGTTTCAAAAATTAAATTCAAAATTTTACATAAGGTTAAAATAAAAAAATAATTTTGATAATCTTTAGAGCTAAGAAAAGGTTCCCCTCACTCAAAGTTTATTATGCTCATGTGCTGAAGTAACAAACTTCCAAAGTCACTGAACAAGTGTAAAAAACAGAACAGAAAAAGGTCACTTAGTTAATAATTTTTGCATGTGAAGAGATTCATTCATGTTTTATTTGTTAATGTAAAGTATAAAATAAATCTATTAAAAAGTCCTTCTGAAAAATCTTTTAATGATTATAATTTGGCCTTCTATTTCAACCTTAGTGAAACTCATTTCAGTGAACTTTTGCAAAATTCCTGCTCTCTCAAAAGCTATATTTCATGACACAATCAATCAGTTACAGCTGGGAGTTTCAATTCCACCTCCCCCCTCCTTCCCTCCCATCTCACACTAAGTTACCACAATCAGTAGTCCTAGAAGTTTGTATCCTTTTTATTTGCAAAGAGCTATCTACAAGATTAGGCGTAACATGGCATTTTGTAAACTGAGGAATAACTTCAAATGGTTAAGAAAATCTACTATGGCAAAAGATTCAAGCTGTTAGGAAAGTAAATCAGTGACAGTGTTTTCCCTAGAGAAGTACTAGTAATGTCTTTAGAGACATAACTACAGGTTGAAAACCACCAAGCTATTTTATTTAAAGAAATGAAGACACATTACTGAAGACAATGTTTCTTCCACAAAGCTTTTCCCAGTCTTCAGCATAAATATTAACTTAAAACATTTGAGCTGAAGAATGGATGAAGTTCCAGTCTAAAAGTCATTTACACTGAGAGTATATAATATTTTGCTTTAGATGTGTGATGTTTGTTACATCTGAATTTAGCAAGTCTTCCTCAGGGAACATTTGCTGAGGTAATATTTGATGCTTGCCACAAATCTGAGATAAAACATTTAGCTCTCTATGTTCAATCCACTTCCAAATGAACAGATTTTCTTTTTGCAGCCAAATTATCTTGTATAAAATGTTGATCGAGCTCTATGATGTTATGAAACAGCTTGAAATTCAGTCTGTATATACAGGGATTGCTTAATGCAACATAACTTTAATAAGAATGACTGCTTGAAAAAGGCATCAACTGAAGTGAATAATTTTTATCATAGTCTAAATCACAAGAAATCTAATGAGTCACTTTGTGGCTTAATATAAAATATAGTTAATATTAAGATAAACAAATATAATTTTGAACAGTTACTTTTTGATTAAATCCTTAGAGTTAGTCTTCAGTCTAATAGATACTTAATTTGGCTGATTAGACCAAGTCACTTTTTTCAGTGTAAACTCTTCTAAAGTATACAGTTTGCTTTTTTTGGTTTATGTTAACAACTTCATGTATGCCTTGCTATTGTGACTAAAAGTTCAAACACTACATTTTCTTTAATTTGGTAGCCTCTTGCTTAGAGGCAGCTTCTCTAACAAAAAAAGAAAGACAATAAGACCCATATGTAACCTTTGGTCTCTAAAAAGAGGAAGATGAGAATACCATTAACAGATAGGTAATAAACAACTACACATACTCTTCAATTTCAACACTACAGAATATTAATTTTAGAAATAAACCAGACTCCTAATAATAGTAATTTTCAACATGTAATTTTTTAAGTGCAGGACAGATTTTAAAACTTACATTAATCTATCATTTAAATTTAATAGTTTATTCAATAGAGTTATAGAACACATTTACACTGCTTCTTACCTGAGAGAAACAATTAATACAGTACATTTTAAAAGGATTTACTGCTGACTTTAATTTCTTTTGTTTCTTAAATACCGAAAAAGAAGTAACTCACTTGTAATCACTACTTTCTTCTTCAGAAGTTAGAGTATGTTTTCTCAGGGTCTTCAGCTCTCCGTCTGTGATTTTCTACTGTTCTGTTCTTGGCGAACTGTTTCTGCTATTTGCTCACTTAGCTGCTCTTGAGTTGCTTTCAAGCTGGATTCCATTAGAAGAAGTTTTTCATCTTGACTGGCAAGTTCTTGGGCTGTAAGTTTAAAAAAAAAAAAAAAAAAAAAAAAAAAAAAAAAAGCTT